TTCTTCTTCCATCGACACTCTCTACTAAATTTCCGAAGCGAGCACACATGCTCGACTTTACACAAAATTCTGACCAGTTATACCATTAAAAATCATGTAACCTAACTGCTTCTAAAGTATATTTGTAGTACCATTGAAAATCATGTAACCGAACTGCTTATAAGCATAGTATTTCTTGAAAATACAGACCCTTTTGAGATATGTTCCGTTTTTAACCTGTTAGCCTATATCTAATTTAAATAGTGAGTGTTTTTTTGACATTGTATCTGGTTTATATAATTTTGTTTTGTTACAGCCTTTACGCTTTTACTTTACCTGTTTTTTTCACTTCCTGTACCTTCTCTTTCTTATTTCTACACTAAAATTCATATGGAGCCGTCTATTTAATTATGCGAGGCCTGCGTGATTGTACAGTTTTCAAGTGTAATTTGCTTACCTATGAAATAAATTACTTTTACTTTGTCAAAAATTGGATTCTGGTATTGAAAATAAATATTTAATGATCGGTGGTTATTAGTGAATAATGGATTCGAAGTTTATAGGTGAAATTTATGGTCAGTATATTCAGATTGCGCGATCCGTTGGTAGTGGAAACTGATAATCTTCACGAGTATTCTCTGATCGCCATATCTGTTTCACTAACTGTATTGTTTATTTTTGTCATATTCAGTCACGAGGTCTGACTTACCTAAGGCACATGTGTTGTTTTATTCCACTCGGATGATAGGAATAGATGAAATCAACTATCATTCATCCACACATACATTGCTCCGATCCTGCAGTAAATAACTAAAGCACTTGTGCTATGAAAATCAGAAACAACGACGGTACCACACACACCCAGAGCCGAGACAATATAGAAAAATAAGTTTTCTACTTTGACCCGGCCGGGGATCGAACCCGGGACCTCAAAGATGGCCACACCATGAAAACTGGTATGCAAGCTACTCGAGCACGAAGGTTGTCAAATAACATGTGATAATTTGGCCTCAGTTTTATTTACACTCACATGACTGAATTTTTAGAAAAAAATATTAAAGTTTCTTCTAATTGTGCGTTAACACAACAGAATGTTAACAGGAAAGTTGTAAACATTAATCTAATCCATTTCGCTTTTCTTTAATATACCACGACACCTGTGCAAGCAAGCATGTATTATATGGAGTCATTCTAAAGAGAAAACTATGTTATCCTTTTACAAAGAAATAGTAAAGACTATACTTATATTTGGACCATAAAATTGAGGCGTTATTATTCACTTCTTACATCAATGCTGTTTTAGGCTGGTGGCAATGCATAAAGAAACGGCAAGCCTCTAATTTTACTTGCGTTTTCAATTCTACTCCGTACAAAGTCTGCTTTAATGATCACTATACGTGCGATCCGGTATTACCCTCTTACACGAATTCAAAGTACTAGAATTCGTGTAAGAGGGTAATATCGGATAGATTGAGCATCGTTGTGTAATAGTATACACGATTGTGTAATACTATATATGATTGTGTAATAGTAATACCTTAACATTAAACGCGCCTTCAAATTAGACTGTGACGCTGAAGCTGCGTTTCTAAAGACTGCCTCCGTGGCCGAACGGTTACCATGTCGGACTGCCACGCAGAGGTCCCAGGTTCGATTCCCGGGCCGGGAGAAATATTTATATGGCCTACATTTATTTCTCTCGTGAGTTTGTGGGTAATTTGTGGTTGTCTATGTGTGTGTCCATAGCACCCGCGACACAGGGTTTCCCTAGTGCGGGGCTATGTTGAGTATGTGCGTTATTATTAAAAAAAAAAAGATTGTATGAAAATTCGTTACCGCGGCTGCAGCGACACTAATAATATTTCCCAAATTATTATTTTATTTTAATCTATCGAGTTTTTAGGTTTTCGCGATTGTTACATATAGGAATGAAACTATTTTTCCGGATTTAAATCGCGTATATTTGTTTTTTCATACAAACCGACGTTTTGGGGCCCTTTACAGGTCTGCGAGCATGTCATGGATAAACCTACACATTCAATGAAGTTTGACAAACCCCAGGTTCTTGCAAAAGAAGTCCGTTATCTACCCAGGATGCTGCGAGAGGCCATTGAAATTAAAAAACATCCTAATTTCAACAGGGAAGATGGTCTCTCCGTACCACCAGTTTGGGATGTAGTATTTCCTCTAATGAAAAATCCCAAACAGATATAAGACTGCAGTACTAATTAATATGTTTTAGTTTATTCTAATTTCTATTAATAATTATTAATAAATTGAACTTAATAAAAATTCATTCAATAAAATAATTTGTAAAACTTATTATAGCGTAAATTGGAATGTTTTCTTTGTAAAATTAAAAATAAGGTATTTAATTAATAACTATTGTAACTATAGTGAAAAAATAGGATGGTTTGCATCAATATTAGACATAACTGGTTGAAGACTGTACCACCTCAGTCAACCGTGACCATGGGACCTGTAAAGGGCCCGAAACGTCGGTTTGTTTGAAAAAACAAATATACGCGATTTAAATCCGCAAAAATAGTTTCATTCCTTATTTTAATCTATTTATATTCTTATTTCAATTTAATCTTTATTTTACGCCTGTATTTTATTCTAGTTTATTATCATTATTATTGTATTATGTCATATTTTATATGTAAAATGGGATTAGCCTGAAAATAAACAATTATTATTATTATATCTATTTTAGATTTTCGCCTCTCCCAAGGCCTAAAAGATTAAATTTGAATTTTAAATGGGAGAGGTAGTGTTCCCCGGCAATGGCACAGTCGGCCGAGGTCAGGGACTCAATTTCAAGAACCGGCGAACAATACGTGCGGTATCGAGCAGGACCGCCTTCTGCATTTGTCCTGGAAGCGACACGCCACAGAAATCCAACCGACTTAAGCTGTTAGCAAGGCTGACTGGAATTAACCCACTGCGGACAAAATAATTAAGATTTTTTCAGCGGAGGCCACATCCTACATGTCGGTGATTATTATTATTAATAATATTTTCTAAATGCACGTTACACTTAGCCAGAGTCGTTATAATAAGTGCAACTAACATCGTGATCACTTGAACGTTATCAGTATCTACTACAAAGGAATCTTTCGATCAGAGTATACTAATCCAATATCGCAATTGGATTTAATGCCAATAATTACGTTACGGAATTACCGTTCGTATTCACGTGTGGTAGAAGTTAACTGTATTTAATAAGTGGAAAGGTTTTCTACGAGAGTAATGAACCTTTTCTACCGGAAATACAATGGCCCTAATGGTTGCGCATTTGTGTGATCGTTATACGTTTTGTTATTGCACGTCAATGATTATAATGATTGATGAAAGACAGCAATAAATATCAATGCCAAAAATCAAAAGTAAAAACGTCGAGGAATAAAATTATAGTTTCTAGTAAAAAAATACGCTTCTCCACAGGCACACAGGACTTGTCAACTTATGTCTCAAGGTGTCGGGCGCATTGGCAGTGCCCCTCAGATCTTTGCGATTTAAAGCTTTGAGTGGCACTGCAACTGTTATGGACAGGTGTGTAGCTTACCATTAGGCGCACGACTTGTTCATCCCGTCACCTGATATTACAAAAAAATATGATGTATGAGGACGTTCCGGGTTCGATTCACGGTAGAACCCAGGAATGGGTTCTGGTGTGGGTGTTCTGGAAAGTAGCTCGGAGTGAATTCCGTTGCTCTGGTACTCATAGTACAGAAAATTAAATCTGTTTGCGTCGGGGGTTAAAAAAAGAGAATCAACTTATCGTTCTTTCCTATACTCACCTCGTTGAACAGTACAACTTTGTAATTTGCGAGTCTTGCGACGTTGCAATTCGTATTGATTTTGTTAGGTAAAGCCATATGCTATTACATATATGTCTACAAAACACATCTCACATAATTCAAACGTAGTTGTTTTTTCACATTTACTGCGTAAAGGAAACAAAAAGTCATAATGGAAAATGGAGACAAATCTTTATCAAACTTACGAAACGTATTGACTGTTAGCGAAGTCGGTCGAAGCTTCTAAATTTATATTATTTTATATAGTATTATTTCGAGTGACATATTTGTAAAAAGTTGCAGCTGCGGTTTTTAAAGATATAAAAGAAATCATAACAAGAGTGGCTAACGTAGAAACAACCGTTACGAAGCAACGCGCTAAGCGGTGCGGTTGCTTCATGATATTTATCAGTAATTATATAGGTACACTACAGCATCTGATCAAGGCACAATATTGAAACACAGTCGATAAAAGAGACTGTTTGATTCGCTTATGCAACTATTATAATATTACTACTATGATTATAAAACTATTTTTCGCGTACAAATCGTGTATATTTTGTTGCATAAGATTTGGAAGAAAAAGAGGTTATGAGAGAAAATTTTGCATAATTTTTTTTTCATCACGACGTTTTTTATACATTTAAAAACCTTTACATTTCTCAGTGTATTTATAAAAAAAATAAAAAGTGTATCTCGAAAAATATAAAAAAGAACTGACCTTCACTTTCCATAGTGCGATGTTCACGGGTTACAAGGAGGCGGCTCTCGCCGGAGCCTCGTTCGTCTGTGCATGCGCATTTTGTCAAGAAGCGAAGCGTGCCCGTGAACTACATTTCACGCCTTGGTTTATTTGTTTACTATCGGAGAAAACTACGATAATAAATTAAGGTGTAAAATATTTTAGCGTAATAAAGTAGAGATGTGATATTATTAATTTAGATTTTATTACCTCTTGACTAAAGACTTGCAAAGTATCTGAAGTGGGAAAATTCACTGTTATTCTTTGCCCATGCTACTTTCAAATAAGCCTTGTATTAAACGTATAACGATATAATGTTCCACGTAAATTTCAACTCCATAATATGCGATTTGATATCGGTATGTACTCAACAAGTGGATGGAGAGCTAGGTCGGGTGGGCTGACCTAGTGGTGGCGGGAACGTTGAAAGCGACATCGCGCGCATAATGACAGTGGCAGGGAAGGTGGTTGCGCCGGCGGCGACGGCGGCTCGCCCGTGGACAGTGCTCGCGCACCTCGCCATGCGCACTCGCTCGCTACATGGCGCGTCGCCTGGCGCTGCTTGCGCTGCTGGCGTGCGCGGTGGCCCTCGTGGTACACCGCCCGCATTACTCCGCGGAAAACTCCGACTCGGAATCCTTCGACCCCTTTGTCATGTGGGACGATTACGACTCTTATGAAACCGTCCGCCCTCCGCGACTTAACAAAACTAGTGCCAAAGTGATACTGAGGGGTAAAGTTCCCAAAGTGAACGTGACTGTGAAGACCGCCAAAGGTCAAAATAAAAAGAACATTATTAAGTCCACCACTATTAACATTCAAAGTCACGCTAATTTTATTATGACAAAAAAACCGGCTGTAGTTAGTGTATCTGTGAAACATCCTATAAAGAAAGTACAACAGACCATTGAAGTTGATGATGAATATACCTTTGAAGTTGATGATGAGTGGGTGGAGGAAAGTAGCGTGGTGCAAGTGGCGAAGCCAATTCCTAAAAAGCCGAGTACCACTCGGCGACCATCGACGACACGACGAAGGACTACGACTACCTCGACGACAACACGCCGACCAACTACCCGTCGTTCTACCACTCGTCGTCCAACAACGCCTAACAAAAAATCGCAGAATGAGAAAATCGCCTGCTTACCAAAAAACCCCGGGTGGCTCTCTACATATTTTAAGGGTAATAAACTAAAGGATAACAAAAAAAACTCGAAGAAGCCATCAAAATCAGGTTGGTTCCTAGGTAGGTTCAATTGTAATTTGTTTATTATTCAAAAATACTTAACAATCTTGATAAAAACTGCAAACAAAAACACTTTCCCATATTTTTTGACATCACTTACCCACAAATTACCTGTGTGCTTCTCAAATTCATTGAAACGGACAATGACCATAAACCAAAGCCACACATGGCTGCGTTGAAACAAGTACAGTCACCGTCAAATTGTGAACGGTTTCTAATTCCGCTTTCGTTAGTGCTTTTATCTTTTTTCTGGTCGTTTAATACGCGAAATAAATTCGTAGTTTTGTTTTACTAATGTCAGGAAAATAACTGGTAAGCGCATATAGTTACTTAGCTTACTCATATTATAATTATGAACACTATTTATTGTAATTCGATTAATTTATTGACTTTGCAATTATTTATATGTGTCTGATTAAGGTACATTTTTTACAAAGTACATGAATTATGTTAAGCGAAAAGAACGCGATTTTTTTTATTTTTTGAGGATGTTCTTGTTTAGCAAGACCGGAAATTGTACTAGGACAAGCTCTAATTTTACCACACGAATCTATCGTACTTTCTTTCTATACTGTCTATCATTTCTACAACATATCAGCATTATCTATTTTTATTCGTGTCTACCATATAATAGCTTTGCCATTACAATAATTTCTTTTACAATATTGCTTTGAATGTAAGTTGGGTGAAATTAGGGTTACTATTACGCTTTCACGAATGACGTGACAATATATATTTATTCATTTACAAAAGATTTAAGTTACAATCAATGCAATTATTATACTATTAGAATTACTTGAATTGACCGTGTAAAGATATTTATTGACTGTGTTGATTGTAATCAAGAATTAACGCACAAAATCTGATCTATACATGCCATTCCCGCGTACACGGCTCACTTGCAATTATATTGTCGTTTTTAAATATTTATTTAAAACTGCATTATTAAGTTAACAGTACAAAATACATTTCACATAAACAAAATACATTAGTTTCTGTAGTTAAAAAGTAAAACGATTTATTACAACATTTTTACCCGAAAAACTATTTGAAAACTATTCTGCCAAATAATTACCGGGTGTCGTCAATTGTTTCACTTCAAATCGACCAATTTAACTTGAGCTTTGCTGTAATGGACGATAATTTAAAAATTACATATTTCATATTTAATTACCGTTTAAATGTGATTCCGTTTGTTTTGTAAATAGATGTTTTGCTGTTTTCCCACATCACCGAATGGAACAGCCGTCCATTGTTAGAGATATTATCTTTAATACAATAAATACAGAATATTTTTGGAATATACGAAGACGTACATAGGTCAGTTGTTGGCGCTATCTATTTCAGCTTTCTAATTTGTGATTTTAGCGCAAACGAGGGTTGATATTTAAAAGTAATATAAGGCGCATTTGCCCGATGAGTTGCCAGGGGTGGATGGCCCTTATTTCGTCTCTATTTCTGGTTTTATACTCGATGACCGGATGCATGCCTAATTAGTCCCTAGAGGTGGAATATTTTTTCAAATTTGAATATAAGTACTAGTGAGGTACCCCTATTCCAACAAATAAGAATTATCGAAATCGGTTCACAAACCTCGGAGTAATCGTGTAACATTCACACAAAATAAATACTGTCGAATTGAGAACGTCCTTGTTTTTCGTATCTGGTTAAAAAAGTACAATTCTATTATCATTTTTATTAGATGGTTTGGGTTTTAGGGTCGTTTGTATAAATTTCAACGTCCTGTATATGGTTACCGCTAACGAATAACAATGCATTTTGGACTGGAGTGTAGAGATGATCAAGGCAAGCCCCACGAACGGAAACATATTTGCGATATTAAGGATGCTTAATATCACAAATGTTTATAAGTAGCGGTAGCCACTTTCTATCAGGTAGATCATCTAACTGTTCGCCGGTTGTAGTACGATAAAAAGCCACAAAACCCAAAATTACCTAATGGTTATTTGAGAGAGAACTTTCTCTTATAATAAGAGAAAACTCCATGGGTTTTTACGTTTTCTCATATTATTTTTGCGATTTTTACATATAGGAAATGGCGTTATTTTTCGGGTCTAATTTGTTTTTCAAACAAACCACGTTTCGGGCCCTTCACAGATCCCTTGGTCACGGATAACTGAGATAGTAGAGTCATCAACCAGTTATCTCTAATATTAAATAACTACGCTATTTTGTATAGTCACTGAAAGTTATTAATCAAATAACTTATTTTAATTTTCCAAAGAACATCTAGTTTCAAATTCCAATGGCGATTTAAATCCGAAAAATGGTTTAATTTTCTATTCATATTTTGGTAATGTTATGATACGAAGGTTTAGTACAACAAAGTCACAGTGATCATTCATTTTAACAAGGTTACAAACTAAACTAAACTTTCGTACACAACATTACCAAAATGTAAATAGGAAATGAAACCATTTTTTCGGATTTAAATCGCCTTTGGAATTTGAAATGATAATGTTCTGTGGAAAATAAAAATAAGGTATTTAATTAATATATTTTTGTAACTATACAAAATAGCGTTTAGATTTAGATTGCATGAATATTGTCAGGATTTCTCTAGTGCAGGGTTATGTTTGTGTGCGTTATTATTATTAATACAATTATTATAGGTGAAATTGTTTAAGTCTCCTATTTCAGCATACAAAAATTATCAACTAATTCGTTCCTAGAATCTTTAAATCACTTCTGAAAAAAAAAAGATTGCCAGTTTTATTACATATAAATAAATAAATAAATAAATAACGCACACACTCAACATAGCCCCACACTAGGGAAACCCTGTGTCGCGGGTGCCATGGACACACACATAGACAACCACAAATTACACCCAAACTCACGAGAGAAATAAATGTAAGCCATACAAACATTTCTCCCGGCCCGGGAATCGAACTTGGGACCTCTGCGTGGCAGTCCGGCATGGTAACCGTTCGGCCACGGAGGCAGTTAGTATATATAAAATAACTGGCAATCTTTATATATTTATTTATATTTATATATATATATATATATGTATATGTGTATCTATATATCTCTATATAGATATATATATATATGATGAGGAAGAAAAGTCAGATGTAAAAATAGCATAAAATTGCATGGAACTAATGAGAATAAACATGGTTTATTAAGGTTACAATTGTTCCACGAGGAACTCAATACATGGAACTACTAGGAATAAATTAAACCTCTGACGTTCTTCGCACATCTGTCAATAAAACATACAGGGTTCAATTATAAAATACTAACAACCTCACAGAACTATATTACTGACATCACATACAATAACTTTTGTTCTATGACTTTAATAATTCATCAAATTGGACTTTCGTACCAAAATAAAAATATTGAAATGTATATAAAACTCTATCTCGATCTGTAAAAAGTAATAACTGTACGGTGCGATGTACAACGCAGGAGCTGAGTAAGGGATCGTTGCGGAGGACGCTTGCACATTTGAACTTACAACCTTGCTACCAAACACCGATCTAAACATTGTCAGATAGTACAACAAAAACTTAAAGTATATTTTTGGTAAATTTATTATGTTTTGTAAAAAGTTGTGGAGCAAAAGTTGTTGTTTATGATTGATGAATCCTGTACAGGATTACTTTCGTATATCCACAAAAAAATTACCACTTTATTGGCAAGACATAATGAAAAGGTTTTTTTTTCTAAAATATTTTTCTAAATATTTCTCCATGCTAATAACAGTATAGCTTAGAGGATGGAAAAAATGGTCATTACTTGGCACGAACAAGTCGTGCGCCTGATGGTAAGCTACATGCCTGCCCATAACAGTTGCAGTGCCACTCGGAGCTTTAAATCGCAAAGATATGAGGGGCACTGCCACTGCGCCTGTCACCCTGAGACATAGGTTGACAAGTCCCATGTGCCTGTACTTTCACCAGTACCCTTACCCTTCAAAACCGGAACGCAATAATGCTCACATTGTGGCAGTAGACCCTAGACGAATTCTTTCACATCTATGGTTCCATCGTACAGCCTCTTTATATATTTAGTAACTTTACTCGTTTTTTGGCGTAAAGATTTAAAAGTAAGACGCAAAAAAAGACAAAAGAATAGCACACGAGTACGACAGAAATTTGTACCACAAACAAAATGAAAAGATTTAAATGCACATGAAGAACTTTCAAATTTACTATGTAACGTTGAAGATTTTTCAAGTGCTTTTTCTGTGTCACGATTAACGACTATTGTGAATTAAAGCAAATCATACGGATAATTGGTTAAGCACAGTAAAAGTCCCACTCAACTTTTTACCACTTTCCTTTTCTAAGTGACAGAACTCTATTTATATCTTAAGTGTAAACCTGCGCATGTTGTTAACTGAATATTACTGTACTTAACTACAGATACAGATATTGAATATTTAAACTAAATAGTCTGGAATACACCACAACATGTAACTGTTCTAAAATTAATTAATACAAAAATCGAACACCATGGACTTTGTCGAACACAAAAAGAAATTCCTTCGAATTTATACAGAGCCAGGGCGTATACTCTCGTTCTCGAACATTCGTCCGAAACAATTGCTGTGAAATAACTAATACTCCACCAGTTTAAAAGATAATATCAAGTATGAAGCTTCATTTGCATCATGCGTCTTTAAATTGGTCGAGTATTACTTATTTCACAGTAATTATTTCGGGCGGATGTCGGACGAACGAGAGTGGATTTTTTCTTTGTGTTCGATCTTTCTATTAATAACCATTTATAAACCATTTATTCACCGCACAAAATATTAAACGTAACTTATTCAATGATAAAAATTATAACAATTACAATATACAACCATTACAATTACAATTACCGTGTAGCAGGGGAGCAAGCTCAGCACACACTATGTAGAGCATATGCTCATACACAGCTCTGATTTTCACTTGTCCCCGCCGTTGTGGACATACAGATACATAAAACACGCACACAAAAACATAAACTAAAATTAAATATAA